GGCCTCCGCGCCGATCAAACAGAAGCGGCGCTACTTGCCCGCCGACAGGCGGGACTTCGTCAAAGGGGAGGTCGCCATGCTCCTCTCAATCAAACACATCAAAGAGGTGAAGTACCCGACATGGTTGGCCAACGTCATCCTCGCACAAAAACCGCCGACGTTCAGAATGTGTGTTGACTACACTGACCTGAACAAGGCGTGCCCCATGGACCCGTTCCCTCTCCCCAACATTGATCAGCTGGTGGACGAGACGGCGGGGTGCGAGTTGATGTCGTTCCTCGATGCTTTCAGAGGGTACCACCAAATCTCCATGCATGAAGATGACGCTGAGAAGACGGCATTCATGATCCCAGAGGGAATCTTTTGCTACCTCGTCATGGCCTTCGGACTCAAAAACTCCGGCGCCACCTACACTAGGATGGTGGCCAAGATCTTCAGGGCGGTCCTTGGCCGGACGATGGAGGCGTACGTCGACGACATGATCGTCAAGAGCAGGCAGGCCACCTCCCACGCCGACGACCTCCGGGAAATCTTTGAAATAATGAAGGAGTTCAGGCTCCGCCTCAACCCCAAGAAATGCACCTTCGGCGTCCAGGGTGGCAAGTTCCTCGGCTACATGGTCAGCCGGAGAGGCATCGAGATAAACCCGGAGAAGACACAGGCTATCATCAACATGGAGCCGCCCCGCAACGTCAAGGAGGTACAGCGACTGACGGGGCGCCTGGCGGCCCTAAACCGGTTCCTCTCTAGGTCAGCCGAGAGGGCACTCCCCTTCTTCCAGATCATGCGTAAGGCAAACAGCTTCAAGTGGACAACGGAGTGCCAGGGAGCATTCGACGAATTGAAGAGGTACCTGTCGTCCCCACCCGTGCTCTCCAAGCCCAAAGCCGGCGAAACCCTCTTCTTGTACTTAGGGGTGAGCACGTCGGCCATCAGCTCCGTGCTCATCCGTGAGGACGAAGGGGTGCAGAAGGCCATCTTCTACATCAGCAAGACACTTAGGGAGGCCGAGCTCAGGTACTCCCCCATTGAGAAGACGGTGCTGGTCATCGTCCACACAGTGAAGAAGCTGGGGCACTATTTCCAAGCCCACACCGTCCATGTGCTGACCCACCAGCCTCTTGGCGCACTCATGAGGAGCCCCACAAGCTCCTCGAGGATGGTGAAGTGGGCGATCTTCCTCAGCCAGTTTCAGATTGAGATCAAGCCAAGGCCATCCATCAAAGGGCAAGCCTTGGCCGACTTCGTCATTGAATGCACAGCAAGGGAGACGGCCGTCGCCAACCCCGGGCCGGAGCCGGACGATACGTGGACCCTGTTCACTGACGGCTCGTCGGCCGCGAAATCATGCGGCGGCGGCGGCGTCCTCATATCCCCTGAAGGGTTCAGAGCTTACTATGCCATCCGCTTCAACTTCAGGGTATCCAACAACGAAGCCGAGTATGAGGCCCTCCTCAGCGGTCTCAGACTCGCCGCCGGCCTCAAGGTCAAGCACCTCAAAATCAAGTGCGACTCCAAACTGGTAGTGGGCCAGGTGGAGGGATCGTACGAAGCAAAGGAAGGCCGGATGAAGCAGTACAAACAAGCGGCGGAGGAATTGCTGAAAGCGTTTGAAACCCACGAGATCACTCAGATCCCAAGGGCCGAGAACGCCGAAGCCGACATCCTCTCCAAGCTCAGCTCGGACACCCCGGAGCACATCTCCCAGTTGGCCAAGATCGAGGAGTTGAGCATGTCCAGCATCCATGCCAGCCCCGTCTTGTGCGTCCAACAACGACCAGAGGACTGGATCTCCGACATCGCCACCTTCATCGCAACGGGGGAGCTGCCCCCGGACGAGGAGAGGGCCAAACTTGCCAAACTCAGGGCCCCAAGCTACACCATCGAAGATGGCAAACTCTACAAACGGTCCTATAATGGCACTCTCCTCCGATGCCTGCACCAGGACGAGGCCGACACAGCCATGGAAGAGGTTCATTGTGGCGTCTGCTCCTCACACCAGGGCCCTTTCAGCATGTCCCGGCGTCTCGTCGTCCAGGGCTTCTTCTGGCCGACGATGGCACGCGACTGCGCTCACCTGGCCAGGAAGTGCACCACATGCCAGGTACTCCAGAAGGTCCCTGGCCGGCCAGCTGTCAACTATGCCCCTGTCAGCACCGCAATTCCATTCTCCAGGTGGGGAATTGACCTGGTCGGCCCCCTGCCCAGAGCCGCCGGGAATAACCGCTACATCATCGTCGTCGTCGACTACTTCACCAAGTGGGTCGAGGCGGAGCCCTTGGCCAGCATCACGGGGGCCAGATGCCAAAGATTTGTTTACAAGAACATCATCACACGCTTTGGCGTCCCCCAGGAGATTATATCAGACAACGGCACCCAATTCGAGGCAGCCCCTTTCCAGGAGCTCCTCCGGGAGTTTGGGGTGAGGCACCGTTTCTCCTCCGTTGCCTATCCTCAGGGCAACGGGCAGGTCGAGAACGTCAACAGAACAATTATGGAGGGGCTGAAGAAGAACCTCCAGGCCGCAGGAGGTAGTTGGGTCGACGAGCTCCCCAACATCCTGTGGTGCTACAGAACCACGCCGAGGAGGGCGACAGGTGAAACGCCTTTCGCCCTATGCTACGGCTTTGAAGCAAAGGCGCCCACGGAAGTTGCCATCCCCAGCCTGCGGGTGGAACAATATGAGCCTGACACCAACGAAGAGAACATGAAGATTGACCTACACCTGGTTGATGAGAGGCGTGAGCAAGCTTATGTCCGAGCAGAGAACTACCGGCGTCAAGTAAAATCATACTATGACGCCAAGGTACGTTCCCGGGAATTTCAGGTGGGGGACTACGTCCTCCGCCGAAGGGAAGCAAGCCAGCCGACAGAGGGTGGCAAGCTAGCATTGAAGTACGAAAGGCCCTACATCGTCAGTGCCGTGGTCAAACCCGGCACCTACAAGCTTAAACGCCCAAATGGGTCCAATGTACCACGAACGTGGAATGTACACCATCTGGTGAAGTTTTATCAGTGATCCGAAGGAGGTGCAGACGGCGAAGCCCTCACCCCTTGACGGGTTACTGATTGAACGCCACCCTCGGTCTCGAGCCACTTATGAATAAAATCATGTTCTGATTTTTTCTCTGGAATTTAAAGTAAAACATTAGCAGGTGCCCCCGTCGGCCACCTTAGAGCAAAAGGCTCAGGCATGGCCGACGAGGCCCCTTGCATTTGAAGCCTACGAGCAACAAGCTCAGGCGCTCCATTGTATTTTGTATCAGCGAAGGGCTCAGGCCTAGCTGAGAGAGCACATCGTCCTGGCCCTGTAAGCCTAGAAGTGAAACGCTCAGGTATGGCCGACGATGTCCCCAGGACGAGGGGCCCGCAAACGGCCCACGTCTTGAAACGGGAAGCTCACCGTGTCGTCCACGCGCCAGATCGCAGGACGACAGGCCTGAAATCATGGTCGAGGTGACAAAATCCCAAAACTCAAGGATGGGCAACGACAGCCGTTGGAAACCGACCAAAAGTCTAGCCCGCGTCATAAATAGGCGACGGGACCCGCCCTGAGATCACGGACGTTATAAACGAAGTCCGAACCGGCCGAAGGACGAGCACACCCTTCGGCCGAAGCCTGAAAGAAGGATACCCCCGGAAAAAAAAATATATATATATATATATAATATAAGGGAAAAAGAGGGAAGCCGACGGCCGTGTACACAAGCCGACCTCGAGCAAAGAAAAATAAAATCCCCACAAATCAGGCCCAATGTGGCCAAGTACATATCAGTTGAACACAAGTGTAGTACCACAAACAGGTAACATGGACGACACGTCCACGCACTACAAGGGAATGATCAAGGCCGACACACACGCCTATAAAACCCTAACCGCATCGGTTGGGTGACACGCGAGAGGTGACCTTCATCGGCCACAGTCCTTTGAAGCACCAACGCTTGGTATGAAACAAAGAATCACAATCCTAAGGATGACCAGGACGAAGCGGGCACTGCATACACCCGCGAAAGAATCAAGCAATCAGGAAACAATCCTTACTTGCCACAGCACCCAGGATAGCCGATACAGGCACTGGCACCAAGGCTGTTGGTCAAGCGAAAGTTCTCTGGGAATTGGTTCAAGTGTGTACCAGACACTTAGAAAAAATCCTGAGAAGGAAAAAAAGAGGGTTCCTCAACAAGGAACCATGGCTGGCCGACGAAGGTAGGACCATCTCCTTGGAAAGCCATTCCTTATCCAGCACCCTCATCGGCCACAAGCCAGACCTTGGCCGACAGCGGTACCGCAAAGAAGTAAATGCCTAACATCTATACTTGGAAAATTCTCCAAGTACTCAAGTGGAAGAACTCTAGACGAAGCGGGTACATATATATTCCAAGGCCGTTAGCTACCTACGCCTTGCATATGTACTTAGGACAAATTCAAAGTCCAAAAGACTAAGGTGAAGGTGCCCTTATCGGCCACAACACAGGAATGCAGGCCGACAACGACACTGGTTCAACACTTGGCAAATCACCCAAACCATCTGCCAGTAATGGGGAGAGACTCAGCGCCAGGACGGAGCGGACACCACGGTCAAGGCCGAAAGGAAAGCACCCAAGTGGATCCCAAAACACTCAGAAAATTTTTGAAAAAAATTCCTAAGTGTTATGATAGCAACGAAACACCGGCCAGGCCGACGAAGCCACCAGGCCGGAAAGAAAGCAACTTCGTGGATCCAAAAAACTAAGTGTTATGATACTGCATCAACACCGATCAGGCCGACAAGGCCACCAGGCCGAAAGGGAAGCAACTACAAGAATCCAAAACACTTAGGAAATTTTTGGAAAAAATCCTAAGTGTTATGATAGTTAAGCAACGACGAACAAGCCGACCAGGCCACCGGACAGGGTGGACTACCCCATGGACGTAGCGGACAATCGCGGGTGACCCAAGTTGTGACCTTGACACTTAGACAAATTTTAGAATTGAAATGACAAATGGCAAACAAGCATACAATGGATTCAAAGCCGAGAAGGACGGCAAAAATTCTTTCATTTAATCAATTCATTACAATTGGGGGCGCTTCGGCCATTACATCAGTTAGACAAAGAAATGAAAAGCAAATTACAAAGGAGCAGGGAGTAGCCGATCAAGCCTCTGGGGCACCTCCATCCGTGGCTGGCTCTTCGACCTCGTCAGCTCCCTCCTCGGCCTCAGTCTCCTGGCAGTCGGCGGGTGCAGCACTGGTGGCGTCGTCCAGAAAATCAAATTCGGTGTAATCCGGCTCGCCGAGGCCGGAGCTTTCAATAGGAGACTCACGCTGTGACAGAGGAAGCTTGGCCTGCTCTTCTGGATCCTTCATCAGCTTTGGCAGCTTCAGGTTCCGTCTGGCCCACCCGGACGTGTAGTTCATGGCCTTCAGAGCACGGGACAGCCGCCGACATAGGAGCCTCTGCATCCGTTCCTGGCCCATGTTGTAATAGACGGCCATCTCCCTACTGAAGTACTCCTGGCCGGCGGGGGAGTTCATCCCCCAATCTTCAAGCCTGGCGGCAACCACTTCGTAGCACCAGGGGAGCCTCTCATCGGCCTTCCACCCCTCGGCCAGGAACCGCTCAACGGCCTCGTCAGCAGCCTTAACAGCGGCGGCCTCGGCCTCAGCTTTCGCCTTCACGGCTTCTTCATTCTTGAGCCGCTCGGCCACAAGCTCCCTTTTGCTCTCCTCGAGCTTGGCCACGGCATCGTCCCTGGCTGCAGCGGCTTCATCAGCCCTTTGCTGCAAAGCCTTGGCATCCTCCCGGAGCCGATCCAGGCAAGCTGCTGCCTCGTCGGCCGAGGCAGCCTTCTGCTCCAGCTCTTTCAAGCGAGCTATCTCCCGGTATTGCCTCTTATGGCTCTCCATGAGCATAAAGGCACTCTGCAGAAAAAAGGAAAAACAAAAATCAGGCAAACGACTCTACACGGACGACGAGAAAAGTACACACTACAAGGCAGAGAACTTACTTGAACGAGGAGGTTCATGCCGCCCTCGTAGATATTCACGTCCCCGAGCTTCCGCAGGTAAGCCCGATCCTTGGCCGGCATGGCCTGCGCCAGGACGTCGTGGCCAAGAACGACGTCATCGAAGACACCCCCGCCGACGGGGTATTCTACCATCTTCTGGTAGGTGGCACCTGCAATCTCTTTGCCGGCCCTCTTCGTCCGTGGCTCCTGGACGAGAGGCAGTGATGGAGCAGCATCACCAGCAGCAGTAAGGTCCACGACAGGACCACTATCGTCCACGCTGGGGACAGCCAGAGTACCGGCCTCAGTAGCCGGAGAAGGGGAAGGAGCCCTCTTCGTCTTCTTCGAGGCGCTCAGGCCGGCCTCAGTTAACTTTTTCTGGCCGTCAGTGGCCGGCCTTTTCTTCTTCGATGGAGCAGGCTTTGGGGCCGCACCAGTACTAGCCCCGCCCCCATCGGCCGCGGCACGCCTAGCCGCCTCGGCCGCCTTAGCAGCCAACTCCTCGACCGCTTTGGCCTTGGCAATAGCCATTATGGAACGACGATCCATTGCAAAGTCTACAAAGGAAAAACAAACAGATTAGTAAGACAAAGGAACAAAACATAAAGACAGAAAGCCGAAGAGGTAATTACCATCGGCCTCAGCAGGAATGCCCAAATCCGGGCCGTCGGCCTCTTCAAAGGTAGTGGTCATCCTCGGCCAGAGTTGGAGGTCATCCTCCTTGTCACCATAGACATGGTACCTCAAGAAGCCGAGGGCGGTCATCTTGTACTCAGTAATGTACTCCTTCACGCTCCTCGGCCCCCCTTCCAAGAAAGCCTCCACCTGAGCGTCCAAAATAGAGCTCTTCGGCGGGTCGTGCAGGTTAAACCTCCCGGTATGGCCGAGAGAGGGGAACTCGGTGCCACTCTCACCAATGGACACAAACACGAACTTGCTCTTCCACCCATGAATGGACGTAGGCAAATCCGTGAAGCTCCTCTTCTTCGGCAGCTGCTGAAGAGTAGCGTAGGCCGCACAGTTCTTGTGGCTTCCTCGGCCGATCTGGTACAGATTCATGAATAGTGCCGTTGTCGGCTTGTAGCCCAACTCCTCACACCGGAGCAAGAACCCGACCATCAAGGAGTAGCTGTTCGGCGTCAGCAAGGCTGGAGGAAGCCCTACCATGTCCAGGTACTCAGTAATGAAAGGGTGAAGGGGGAACCTCAACCCCTTAGCAAAACTCATCGGGTATACTCCAAAGTATCCCGGTGGTGGCAGAAGAACATGGTCCGTCAGCATGGGTGCCCTAACCCGCCCGAACGGCCCCACTGCTCTCCGGCTTGATCAGGTAGATGTTGGTGAGATCCAGATAGGAGATGCCGGGCCCACTCTTCGGCCTCCTCACTCTCTTCGGCTTGGCGGCTGTAACACCGTCCCCAAATGTATTTACTTTTAAACGAATAATTTATTGAACCTTATGAAGTTTTTAATGAATTTACGAAGTTGTGAATTTGTATTATATATTTTTCGCGTGAATAGTAAAATGCACGTGGGGCCCACATCGGGAGTGGGGACCGCCCGATATTGTCGGGGCCACATATTATATTGATCTTGGACTAGACAATATGTATATGGTGGTGGATATCCTAGTTGAGCCATGACAATGGCATAGGGTTGACCGGTAGGTCAAACGGGGCCAAATTATCAGTATCGGCAATCTATCAGATAACAGCCCGAAAAGGGATTTCGGAGACTTCTAAATTAAAGTTGAGGGATGCATATTGATTCTAAGGTCCATTAAGAATTGGGAACAAGTGTTATATTTTATTTGACCCGATAAAATAAAATATACTTAAAACAGTCCGAGAAATACAACTTTCGGGGCAAATTGCACACTTTGGGACAAATTGGGATGACCTCCCACATGGGTGGGGGACACCCCACGAAATTGTCAACCCTTGAGGGCTGGATGAGTGCCAAATTGGCTGAACAACAATTGAGAGGATGGGGGAGACACTTTTGACATGTAGTAGGCCCCCTCCCTTCACTCATTGTCTAGATGAGACAAGAAGGAACCACCCCTACCTCCTTACCCTCATCATTTTCGACCCAAATACACCAAGAAGGAGAGAAGATCTCTGCAAACTTCATCTCCATAGCCCAAATCCGAACTCAAGCTAAAGGGAGTCCAAGAAGAAAGTTTAAGAAGGAAAAAGCTAGGAAAAGGGTGTGAAAATTAAGGTAATGACCTTATCATAACTTTTCCTTTGTTTTTCTTCTAGCATATAAGGTATATATCATATAAAAGACCTTTAGTATTGTTATATATGATTTAAGTGTGGAATGATGGGTTGGAAAGTGATATCAAGTCCAAAAATGGACTTAGAAGCCAAATCGACCGGTTTGCCGGAAAATAACCTTTTATAGGTTATTTGTGTTGATATGGGTTTTGTGATGATAAAACCTTGTTAGGAACTTGATTTAAAGTATTTTTTAGCCTCGCCGGAGTTTCGTCGGAGTTGGTCAAAGTTCGCCGGAGTTGGTCAAAGTCGCCGGAGTTGGTCAAAGTTCAATCAAGAAACGTAGAACGCGCTTAAGCTTAATTAAGGTGAGGATGACCGACTATGATACTTATAATCTTTGGGTTAATTTCATGGGATTTACTAAGTGAATATAAATGTGATGTGCATGAATTGTTGATGGTTAATAATGTATAAATAGAACTACTATTGATTAAAAGTATAGTATGCATGATACACAAATTTATGAATAAATTGTGTATGTTTCGATGTTAGGAATATGTGTGTATGATGGTTGTACCAACCATGAATATCATTTGGGATAGTATACTTTGATGCCATGAGGAGAAGCCATGAAGGTATGAAAGTGATATTTGATATTAAGGCCAATTATGCAAGAAGAAGGAATTATATTGAAATAAATAAATAACTAGCATTGAAATATTAGTTGGAAATGTTAGTTGAGAAATGGATGAATTAGATCCTAAGAATTTGAATTATAAGGAATCGGTGATTATGAGCCGGGCTCAAGACCGATGTAGATGACGGTGATTATGAGCTGGGCTCTAGACCGTAGTAGATAACGGTGATTATGAGCTGGGCTCTAGACCGTAGTAGATAACGGTGATTATGAGCTGGGCTCTAGACCGTAGTAGATGACGGTGATTATGAGCTGGGCTCTAGACCGTAGTAGATGACGGTGATTATGAGCTGGGCTCTAGACCGTAGTAGATAACGGTGATTATGAGCTGGGCTCTAGACCGTAGTAGATAACGGTGATTATGAGCTGGGCTCTAGACCGTGACAAATAATGATGAATCGATATTAAATGAACGGATTAACTATAATGTAATAATGCCCTAGTTGAGGGCCTCAGAGATTTAAACTTTGATTATACTTAGTATAGTTGTCATTGTACTTGTCAAATGCTTCCAAGTACTGACCTCCCCTTCACGGGGGAGGCCACCTCACAGTTTCAGGTAGAACTTGAAGGTTGCTACCACCAGCCACTGCTTCGGGAAGTTTCTGAGGAGAAGACTTGGTTCGTGCTTCTCCCGTTCTTGTTTTGAAAAAAACAATATGAATAATGCTCATGGATAATATTTTCTGAATAATTACTTTGGGGGCTTGCATGCCTAATTATGCCAAGTGTGGCTTGAACACTTGTATCAATTGTTTCCGCTGTTTTAATAAATGTTTTACATTATGTTTGTTTATGGATGTACTATGTGTGAATGGTATTCAAGACGCCTTGTATAGTATGGATGAGTCGGACTGCGGTTGACTATTCGTACTGTACGGCGGGTTGTTGACGTGTCCGGGTAGGTCCAGGGCGTGACAATTTAAATGGTATCAGAGACTTAGTCCGTAAACATCATAATGAAGCTTCAAAATTTCTTTTTGAAAATGAATCTGAAAAACCATGAGCATAAGTTTTGTACTTAAGTTGCAATGCCTCTAATTGTTAAGATGGTACCCTTAACAATTGGTATGGCGGCGATTTGAGCCGAAGGATGTCTTTAAGTACCCGTCCGTCATTTGACATTCGATACGAGTCTAACGACTCAATCCTAATTTCTTTCAGAAATGGAACCAATTGGAAGGATCACTAGGAGGAACCCGTTGGGCCGTGCACCGGGTGGGTCCGAGCGCGGTAGCCGGGGGTCCTCTAGGGGATCAAGAGGAAGGGGCCGTGGAGGCCAACGTCAAACCGTGAGCGATGGCCACGTTGATACCGAGAGTGAGACCTATTGGTCTTATGAGGACTCAACTTACCAGCCGGGGACTGAGCCAGTTGAGACCCCTTACGAAGAGAATGATGACGATGTGAGTGATGAAGAGGAAAGTGGCTCCTTGGCCAGAATCGAAGCGCTGCTCCAACAGTATCATAGGGAGCGCGAAGAAAGGAGGGCACGCCGAAGGCACTGTGCAGGGCAACCTTCGGGCGGGGCTCCAAGAGGGAGGAGTTTTTGTGATTCGAGAACCCATGTGGAAGCGCATGGGAGTCGGGGCGATGGAGGTCCAGCCATAAGGATCTCCAAATACATCAAGGAGGCGAGGGACTTAGGGTGCAAACCGTTCGATGGGACGGGAGACATCTCGGTTGCCGCCCAGTGGATCAAGAGGCTGAACGAGGCAGCTCTTGACATGCAGCTCACCCCCGATTTTAAACTGAGAATCGCGGTAAGGTTACTCGAGGGGTTGGCATCCAAATGGTGGGATGGAACCAAGGGTAAGTATGGCGGAACTGTTACATGGGAGGATTTCCGACAAGAATTCTTTGCCCAGTACTACTCTGACTTTGAAGTAAACGCCAAGGTGAGGGAATACACTCTCCTAACCCAAGGCGGTAACATGACGGTGAAAGAACTTGAGAACAAGTTCAGAGACCTTGCTGATCACATACCGGAGTATGCTTGTGATGAAAACCGAATGGTGAATCACTTTTGGGAGGCCTTGGACTTGGAGATACGTGACAGGGCAACTCAATTGCCCAATATGACTTTCAGCCAAGTGGTTGCCCAAGGGTTGAAGGGAGAAAAGCAATGGGAGGAGAGGAAGAGGAGAGATGCCGAAGAGGCCAAGAAAAGAAAGTGGGAGAGCCATGGCCCCCAAGGTCCCAATAAGAAGGGGAACCACGGGGGAGGTGGATCGTTCAGGGCACCGGCAGCACCATCCAAGGGAAACCCAGCCACGAGCGGGCACTACTCGGGCTCACAAGTCCCGATGGCGCCCAGGTGCAGGAATTGCAACAGAAACCACACCGGTAAGTGTCGTGATCCGCCACGGTGCTACCAATGCGGGAGTACAGGGCACATTAAGCCAAACTGCCCTCAACTTGGTGGGAACCGGGGGTCAAGACCAAGCGGCGCTACCACGGCAAGTAGGAACCGGGCCGGAGCATCTCATGCTAGCGTGGGCCAGGGGGGAGCGAGCACGAGCAATGCGCCATCCGTGAATCAAGGAAGAACTCAAGCTAGAGTTTATGCTATGACGGAGGCGGACGCACGTGCCAACCCGGACTCCGTTGCGGGTAATTCCTTAAACTCACGTATTAATTTTCGTAAACAATAGGAGTGTGGAACTTGTAAAATTATAACCCCGACGAGTTTAGTCGGGTTTGAAGGGAAAAAGGGAGGAGAATCCTCACCCTGGGTGAAAACCGCCCGGCTATTGATGAAAGCCGCCCGGCTTTCGTCTTGATTTAATTGGGATAATACTACGGCAACGAATGCCGGCCGGCTTCCACTGAGAACCGCCCGGCTTTCGTCAAGACTGAAACAGAGAAATTTCTCGCAACCAAAAACCGGCCGGCTTTTGGTGAAAATCGGTCGGCTTTCATAAACACCTCACCTGGAAAATTTCTCGCAGCTGAAAGCCGCCCGGCTTTCATGGAAGCCGCCCGGCTTTCGTTAAGCCTGGGATTTCTGCGCTGCTGAAACCCGGCCGGGTTTCATAGAAATCGGCCGGCTTCGAAATCTTTCCCTGAATAAAAACTACGGCGACGAAAGCCGCCCGGCTTTCGTAAAAGCCGCCCGGCTTTCGTGATTATAAACTTAGAATTTTTCTCGCAGTCGAAAACCGGCCGGCTTTCGTGAAAAGCGGCCGGCTTTCACCCGGATTGATCCTAAAACGGTCCTAAAGGTTAGAAACCGGGAAATTTCAGAAGGGTATCGAACGGACCCCACCCGAAACACAACCAACATACTCTTCGACTTAAGAAACGAACCTATTCATTAGATGGTGTGTCTTACATTACTTATGAATGTAGGAACACTAAAGATAAACGGGAGAGAAGCAAGGATCCTTATTGATACCGGGGCGCAACGATCATTTGTGAGTGAGGCGTTCGCCAGCGGATTCAACGGACCACTTGTACCGATGACTCAAACCCTATTGGTG